GGGAGTACGGCGACCTCGGGCTATCGAACATGACCCCTGCAATGGCCCGGGTGCGGTCTTCACTATCCGCCTTGAAAGCCCAACGTCACCGCCCTTGATTCTAAACTCGTGTTCAACTGGACGCACCGAAGCTCGACACAAAGTACTTAAAGAAAAGTATACACTCTAGACCCTGTCCACCAAGAGCGAAAGTGCAGTTACTCGAAGCAAACAGGCTGACCGGACTAGACACGACCCAGCTATACCAATTGCGACTAACCTTCAACCGAACACTAAATTGCCTATGGGTTACGAAAATTGGACCGTCGGCTTCCACCAGGTCCACGGCAAGGCCTGATGCCGTGTCCAATTCAAAAAGACCAAAGTCGGGAAAGAACGCACATGGACCCACCCTTATGCGTGCCGCAACACATGGCTCGCATCCCATTGAGTGAGAGTGCTATAAGAGCCACAGTAAATAACCATTGCAGGTGGATTCACAATCCGCTACTCCACATAAGAGGGCTGCGCGGTCAAATTTATCCTGTCAGTTGGCAACCCCTTACGCCACGGCTTTCAGCGCACCACGATAGCTTCAAGCGCATCATTGTTTGCAGTGAAGTTATATTGACCGAATGTCATGCTGTAGTCACTCCCTTCCCATTTGAAATGGATTAGCGCGCAACAGCCTAATTACGAGTTTGTATGTCCAAGAAGACCTTGTTACTCTGCATGTTCTTTCTGCCTTGATCAGAGCCTCGACTAACGAGAATTCCATGTTATCTCATTTGTATCCACCGCAAACGTCAGGAACAGTCATAAAATTACAAATATTCCAAAGATCGGGAATGGATATGTTTACTTTAGCTTTTACAGATTCTCCCTTCTCAAAAGCACAAAATTCAGATCCGTATGTTCAGATACTAATGAACTGCCACATTCATGTCGAACTTATTTTGCGCGTGAAAATACTGAGCAATGTTTTCGGGGTCAGTATTACTTTTCATTGTGCCGTCTGGCAGAGCAGTTGAAGACTACTCGTGACGAATACGCAATAACTGTGCGAGTAAAGGTTGTAATGTGAAGGAATGCGGCGTCGCAATCACATACAGCCACCAGGATATAGCTTGCGAACCTGAACCAAAGCAATCGAGGATTGGCAAAATAAGTATGCTGTTTGAAGAAGGGAGCAACTAAAAGGGAGAACAGGTTGACCCCCGAGCGAATCGACTAAGCATCCTAACTGTTGGCGTACCCAGACTTTAAAAATATTGGGTTGCCATGATAGCATACTAGCATTCTGTGACTATGTAGATGCAGTTGAGAGTAATAACGCCATTGATGAATGGATGGGTTAAGGACAAGCCAACTGACCATTCCGAATAGTGCTACAACTTCAAGTGACCGCAGCGCTTAGTGACGAGTCCGGATTGTAATAATGCCTGCCATTGACGCTACTGTGTTGCCGTCCCCCGCGAACCAAAGCGCAGAGACAACTATTTCCTTATAGGTGTTACGGTTGCGATCGTGCCTTATCTAGCCGGTCTCGATGGCGACACAGACTGTACCTCTCCACTGATCCGTTGCAGCAGACGGTTCAATCCGTTCACTTTTTCAACGATGGAGACCGAATAGCGGACGTCTGAGAACAACCTTAATATCCTGACTATGTCGAGCCAGGTTTTCAGCTGCTCCCCTTGACGCCTCTAATTGGGTAACGGTACTAAATCGAGGGCATTAACACTAAACTCGTGAGATTGATGACGAGGAACGTGTCCAAACAAAACAGTCGCTTTCTTGCACGTCCTGGGATACTCCAAGTTCGCGCATTATCCCTGAAAATCCAACAGGACAAGAGACAACTCTGAAAATCGGACTGTTGCTTCAAGACCGTTTGTGGAAAGAAAAAATGACATCATGATCACTGATTTTCGAAGTCAGGAACGATTCATTTTAGTGCGTGCAAGTAAGTTGATTATTCCCCCTTCTATACATAGTAGTGTCCAGTAACAGCTACTTATAACAAGCATTCGCACCGTTAAAAGAAATTACGCAGAGGACATGACACGCATGAAATCTGTCACAGTAAGACCTGCTTGTGTGGGGATCTTAACCCACAAAGGATAATCCAAAAAGTTGTTAACCAAATATTAAGTTGCCACGGTCAGGAGTTCCGGCTTTCAAAAAAGGGAAAACAGGGTTTCCGAAGACCGAATGGGATGTAGATAGGGACGAACAGGACAACGCACATCCAACATTATGCCACGATAAGGAATCATTGCATTGACAAAAATACACACCATCCGCAATGAGTAGTCAAAAGCAAACGGCTAAGAAAGTAGGGTGAAAGGGAAATCAAATAATGATAACAACAGTGTTGAAGTAACAGACACAGCTCGGATTCAGACCTAACGGCAGTGTCCAAGACTCTTGAGCCGGGTCACAGAAGATGTCTCAAAATGTGCAAAACCACAGTAAAATGAGTGCTAGCCGGAGGTGAAAATTTATCGCTTTGCAGAAGAAAGTGTGTTGCTCAGCCA